CAACCGGTGAACGGTAAAAAGAAGAAGAAGAAACATTACATGTTAGCTCTTTGTTTCCGATTTTATGTCCCGTTAAAAAAAAAAAAAAACTCGACCACGTAGTTTCCGATATTAGTGCTGATAAGATGTTCTGCGCCAAGACCTGAACAAAGCTATTGTGTAATACATTCGTACCTACAGTGAAATTTCCCTACATGTCTTTATATATTGGTCAGTTTCACAATACCACAATCACAAAACGATAACATAAAGTTGGAACTAGAATGCTTTCATCAGTATTGACACAGTATACAATGATACAGTTAATATACATATCCAGTTTCGTCCTTTTTAGGACGAAATTTTTTGTTATTTGAAGCCCCACCCTGGCATTTGCCAGGGGCCGCAATATAGGCAGGCCATGAATATGGCCAATTGTCTGAACGCGGTTTCTGGGACCTCTCCACGGCGATCCTCATCCACATGGTGGCACTTTGTGTCATCGGGTGTTTATCGCTTGTGTGATGTCCTAGTGGGGTAGAAAGTCAATCAATGATACAGTTACAGACAAGAATGCACAAAATCATTAAGTGAACGGCGGGGTCCGTCATAAAATATCCATTGTACTTGTTATTAGTAGAAGCTCTAACACACTTGTCGTCACAGGATAGAAACAGAACAGCAATTGACCCAGAGACGTTGGGTAGGTAGCAGATGTGTTCAAGGAAGGGACATAACTCAAAAATGTAGATAAAACTGTTGGACATTTTTAAGGTCGTTCACAGCTTGCTAGTTTCTCAGAATGGAAGGAGAGGGTGCGGGGGACTGACAGTTTTGCAGCACAGCCCTCGTAGAAATGTTGTTTTAGTACCAGGTCGGGAGGAAAAACCAAAACATAGACTTCCCTTTGGTAGAGGTACGTCCCTCTCAAAGCTCATATCGTGTGAATGGTGTTGCATCAGACTCAAGTTTTCCACAATCGGCTGTACACACATGTCGTCATTGTAACTGACTCACAGAGCATGTTGAGAAAGGTGGAGACAGGATTGCTCCGGGCAGAGTGGCAAGCATCACTTCAGAGGTCCAGGGTTGTTATCATCTAATGGATATTTTCTCCAGGTCATGCCGGGGTGTTGGGAAATGATAAGGCAGATAGAGTGGCCGGTTCTGCACCACTTCGTGGTGAACTGATGTATGACAAGCTGGATGTTGTGAGGGCTCCTTTGGGAGCGAGTGAACAGTGCCGAGGATCAGATATATCATTACGGTCTGAGGAGAATGTCACTGCGAGGAGTTACAAAGGGATCTGGCTGACGCTTGACACTCAGGGGAAAGTCGAGACGGATATACAATCAGACAGTTACTGGTACCATCTGAATTTTAACTCTTCGCTTGCTGCTGAAGATGGGGGCGGGGCGCTTATGATGGTGTCTCGAGTGCTGTAAATCCACATCGGATTTACTCATTAAAACTGAGTTTCACACACGATTCCCAAGTTATCACGCATCGAACTTGAGATTTTTCTTCTTCTTCTTCTTCGCGTTCACCACCTGTAGACCCCTGAGGAAAGTTTTGGGTCTTCGTCCATCTCCGGGCTTTAGCCTTATCCCAGAACCTAACTGTAACATGCCAATCCGTTTCACAGATCTGGCTTATCTGTATACAAACTGTTTGTTACTTGCCTCTCATGCAGATGTACTCCGACTTCACAGGATACCCCCCAATTAGTTGGCTCCTACGACACGTTTGTTAGGCAGGCAGTGGGTCTACTCTTGCCCCCCCCCCCCCTACAATGGGTCCGCGGAACCCATTCAAGGAGCTTGAGAAAAAGAAATAGGTCCTGGGATTCTCTAAATACTAACTTTGATTAAGACATGGCTTACCTTCTGGGCAGTCTAATGAGTCCAGGCAGGGAAGACTGTTTGACTGGGATGACACCATGTGTCATCCGCCGCTCGTTCAGGATAACAGTGTCGCCCAGAGACATGTTAGAATGAGCTGACCTGTTAGAGGTATAGGCGTATTGAATATGTTCATCTTTGATTTTATGTAAATGAGTAGGAAGAATGTTTACTCGTGTTCTCGGGTCTTTTGTTGTTCTTGCAGTTGCTTTGTTATCTTGATGCTGCTGCTACACGTTCTCCTTGCTTTCTTTCCTTCTTCTTTTTCTTCTTCTTCTTCTTCTTCTTTTTCTTCTTCTTCTTCTTCTTCTTCTTCTTCTTCTTCTTCTTCTTCTTCTTCTTCTTCTTCTTCTTCTTCTTGTTCTTCTTCTTCTTCTTCTTGTTCTTCTTTTCCTTCTCCTCTTTCTTCTCCTCTTTCTTCTTCTTCTTCTTCTTCTTCTTCTTCTTCTTCTTCTTCTTCTTCTTCTTCTTCTTCTTCTTCTTCATCTTCTTTTTCTTCTTCATCATCATCCTCACCCACTCACTTCGCGTTGTCTCTTCTCCTTTTAATTTTCGTTGTCCTTGTCATCTTTGCTTACTTCTCTTGTCTTTTCCTCCAATTCTTATCATAGTCACAGTTAGTCTTGTTTAATTGTGTAGTAATAATAACGATTGCTATTATTATTATTATTGCACAGTGTAATGTGCTCATCTAGGGGTATGTGTTGTTTACATTGCTTTCAGACGAACAGTGAGTTGAAACGACACAGCATGAACGAATATTGAGTTCTTTGCTTTTATTCGTTGAATCGCCAGTTACCGCAAACATACATTCATGCTTCCTCGTGCTCGTCTTGCTTGACAATCTAGCGACCTGGTCGGACTTCCCACACACTACGGGAATTTATCAGCGTCTCTCGAACCATCCATCTATACTTCACGAACTCTGATATCTGACATTACGACGTATGGGAAAACATTCAGTCCTCCTATTGAAATATAACGTTCACTTCACAAATCATTTATTCTTCTCAGGCGTCCATTCATGCGTCCTCTCTCAGTCAGGGCCGAACTTCAACTGTCTTACTTCAGTCTCTCGGTTCACGTCTTCCGTTCACGTCTCATGCTTTTCTTGTGTCTCTCACTTCATTCACCATGAGACACACGAGACTCACTTCTCCCGTTTTTCTCTTCTCTCACGGGTCCTCCGGCCTTTTTCTCCCCATCGGGAACTCTCTGGGGTTTCCCCGGGAATTCACAACATTACAATCTCCCCCTCCCTTCTAGTAAAAAAAAATTTAACCTAAAATTTTTTTTTTCTATTACTTTATCTTGAGGTTATAATTTTAAAGGTTTGGGAATACTTTAATGTAATGATGTGGATTACCTAATAATCATTCTGGGTTTTGGTGGTTACTTCCCTTTTGATAGGTTTTACATTATTTCCCTTTGTCACATTACCAGTTATTGTATCCAATAAGTACCAAGTGGCTTAATGGGAATCAACCATTCAGGCACTCTCTTCCAAGTGCGGTAGTCCATATAGGCTCTGCGTATTAACCCCATCCCATCCCACAGTCTGTATAAAACAGAACAACAATTCTGGTACTCTCTTTCAAGTACTGAAGTCCATAACGGCTATGGAACAGAAATGTAGCAAACCCGCAAAGTCCCACCCTAACCGTTGGACTTATGGCTACTGTCACTGGTTTACGTTTCAATTAGAGATATATGTTTCCCTATTTAGGATTTCGAACTCAATCCCTTGGATTATGTGGTGTAAATTACCTATCATTTTTTCGAAAAAGTATTATTAATCCCTTTCTATATCATAGTAATTACCCTATTACATGTTTTACAATCCATATTTTCACCAATAAGTTTACATAAACAACATATACAATCATTATTAAATCTTATTTCAATATGCTGTAACATCTTAATTGTCATAATCATCATCATTATCATTGTTGTCATCATCATCATCGTTATCATCATCATCATCATCATCATCATCATTGTTGTTGTCGTTATCAGCATTATTGTCATCATATTCATCTCATCGTCATCATCATTCTCCTCATTTTAGTCACCATTATCACACGTATATTGTTACTTACAAGTGTAACATACATAAAAATCATCAGTTAAGCTATGTTTACATATTTCATTCATTCAACCATACTCTTTCCTGTAATTCAGGATTTCCCCAGGTAATATATACAATACAAAATTGAATCTATGCTTATAATCTGGACATCACGTCGGGTAGATGGTTTTCAATGCCCTTAATGTGTTCTATCTTGAACTGAAATTGGGATAATAATAACGCCCATCTGTATACTCTTGCGTTATTTGTTGCATCCATTGTTAACAATTTTGTCAGGCCTAAGTTGTCAGTCAGAATAATGAATTCCTTTCCTATTAAGTATTTTTGGAATTTTTTAAGGCTGATAACAAGAGCGAGAGCCTCTTTTTCGAAAGTACTGTAATTCTGTTGGGTGGAATTAAGTTTCAGTGAAAGATATAGAACCGGAAGAAGAGTACCGGAATGCCTTTGAGCCAACATCGCGGCTATGGTATGACCACTAGCGTCAGTTTGTAGGTAGAAAGTTTTAGATGGATCCGGTTGTCTCAGTATTGGTGGAGTAACAAACATTGACATCATCATCTGCAAATGCCTTTTATATAAAATCATTACTAACATTTCTTCTAAAATACCTTTTCATCATGTTAACATGAACCATTTTCAATTTCCCTTTATAGAAATAATCGTATATGGGCCACGCCATTTGATAGACAGTTTATCTGAATCTTTTGGTAGCAACACACTTCTTGACCGGGTTCGAAGGCCATCAGTTTGGTACTTCTATTTGCAAACATTCGCTGCTTATGTTGTGTGTGCACCTGTCTTTTTTACTTCACATGTTACTATTATTTTTGATATAACTAATACATCTTTATGAAACACTATAACGGGTGGTTTCTAAATATTGTTATACCCGATATATGATAATTAATTCCGTGCTAATGTATACAGACACAATTAAAACTGTGTTTGATTAAAGTGGACTGGTTTACCTAATATCACAATATATTAAAATAATCTGCTTACTGTATGTGACTGCTTTATAGACAAGATATATGTGTAATCACAGAATGGGGAAAGTGTTTAGAATAAACCATGTGTAAAAGCAATAGTTTTAGTAGTAGCAATGCAAGTAGTGTAACACTTTTGAGAATTTGACAGCTTTTGATAATCACCAAGACTTGTGAATTGAAGTTTTTCCGACTAGGATATCCAGTCACCAAAAGTTGCACTATTTGAATGGCATAAATAGTATAGAATAACTCTAAGTTCTTTGTCTGGAATGTCGTCAAGACAATCTGCCATATAATTAAAATGAAGTGTAGTATCCACATCCAACCATGTGTATAATGTGATGCACTGTTCTGACGTTTCTGTACATGGTGTTTCTTTTGTGAACTGTCATGATACTTTTTTGTTAACATATCGTATCGTTTCTTTGTTTCAGGACTCAGCGATTTGCAATATTTTTTACAACAATCACAGAGAATAGAATGTTTCATTTGATGTATATCTACACTGTGTTTTGTTTCTGTGTTGTTAGTGTTTTCAGTTACTGTTGTTTCTGTTACCACACACTTTTTTCTGCCAAGCTTAGCTTCTGTCTTTGAAGGCTGTTTATTCTTGCATCCTTCGCTTTCATTCATTTCACTTTTTCTCTTTCTGTGCTGGGCTTTGTTACGACTGCTATTCTTCTTGCTTTCTCTGACACGTTCTTCTTTGGGGTATGGAGTGTTACCTTTTGCATCTTCATTCTCACTTGGGTTGACACTCTCACTGGGATTTGGAGGGTTGTCTTTCGTAACCTTACTCTCACTCACATTACAGCATTCTTTGGGATATGGGGAGTTGTCTTCCGTACTTTCATTCTGACAATACTTTGGAATATTTTTTTGTTCCCAAGCTACAATGTCCCTGTCGGTTACTGTTCTCAAATCTTCCCTGTTTCCCAAAATCAAATCAGCACAAGGGGATGGTAATACTGCAACAGTTATGAACTTTTCTATGTATGGTGTTTTAACAAACACGTTAGCAAGTTGATATCTTTCGATGCTACCACCAAAGGTACGACAATTGATGTATTTGTCTGTTAAATCTTCTGGTCTAATCAGTCTTTGATGCACTCCGCAAATAGATGCACCAGTGTCCCTAAGGAGTGATATGGTTTGCCCATGGATCTGACCTTTCTGAAATTTCAGAGTACCGTGGCCGTGTGTTGCCAGATTAGCGTTCTGAATGGGTATCAGGTGTCCGCACGGTAGGTTGCCTTCCTTATGGAATTTAGAACATATTTTACATTCTTCTTCTGTTTCGTACATGGTAGCTGAATTGGCTTCAGCTGAATCACTTTCTGATTCATCATCTGATGTTACACATACTACATGTGCCTCCTTGAATCGTTTTATAGCAGGACAGTTACGTCTGGTGTGCAAATAACATCCACAAATATAACATTTTACTGCATTTTCATACCTCTTTAACTTGTTTTTTCTATGAGCAATCACTTGTTCGATTCTTTCATTAAATTGTGGGCTTTTATCACAAGGTGCGTCGTCACCATGTGTTTTGTTACAGTGGTTGCAATTGATGGTCTTTACCTCTTTTTTGCCATACCTAAAGTTTTTGTTCTGAAATTTCTGTTGGTATGGTTTTGCATAGGCTGCTGCTCCCACTTCTATCAAATCAGGACTTTATAGCACGAAGATGTCAGGGTGTGCTGCAAAGTAATTTTCACCTACTTCTTCTAAAGAATCTAAATTTGTTGGCTTATTTTCCTTTAGGAAAGTTGCCATTGGCTGTGGAAGAGATTCTAACATTTTACATCTTAACAACAAATCAACCAATAACTTATAGTCATTTTTTACATTGGCTGCTTCAACCCATTTTTGGAATATGTTCTGCACTTCTGACAGATAGTCTGCAAATGTTTGACTACTTTTTGGTCTCAAATCGTTGAACTGTTTTCGGTAGCCAGCTTCGTGCAGGTTGTAATGCTTCATTAACCTTTCTTTGATATAG